CTCTCTCTCTCTCTCTCTCTCTCTCTCTCTCTCTCTCTCTCTCTCTCGCTCTCTTTCTGTTCTGAATGCTCTATTTAAATACTACAGACAACACAAACGCGCGCCATTTGCTCTCGCTAAAAATTCGCATGATTTGACAGCCCGCAAATAACACGACTGAAGCATGTCGTATCGCACCAATCAGCATCTCGGAAAAGCGACAACAATACTTTGAGACTTTCGACTATTGACTTAACGCCTTTTTTAATATAGGAGGGTACACTTGAAGCCTCCGCTACAATGATTCTCGGTTCTGTCTACAATGGTCGTAGTCGTAAGAATAATCGACTGCGATTGGTCAATTCTTATCGAGCGACTACGACTACGACCATTGTAGACAGAACTGAGAATCATTGTAGCGGAGGCTTGAGCCTCGTCTACACAGAAGTCGTAAAGTCGTAGTCGTAAGAATAGTCGACTATGATTGGTCAATTCTTATGTGTCTGACGAAATTGACCAATCGCAGTCGATTATTCTTACGACTGCGACTCTGCGACTCTCATTGTAGACCCAGCATTATTTTTATTCCTTTTTACTTTGAGAGCCAACGGCACACGATACTATTTTTCCTACTGCATTGCTTACCAGAACCAATAAGGATGCAGAGTTTTAGACTTAAAGCTGAAATCCTGATTGGCTCTTGCAAACAATCCAGTAGGAAAAATAGTATAGTAGGGAACTTGTCCGCCAGGAGCGTTTAATAAATATTCTAAAGATTCTCTCACGTGACTTTCGAGAAGAAACCTCGAAATTGTCTTCGTCGTGGAAGTTTATCTTAATATTCCACGGAGATATCGCGTCGCGCGAGAGGACACGTTCTCTCCCGTTCGCGCTCCTCGCTCCGCGCCGTGATTAATGGGGGCCACGCACGGGATCGGGATCGGGATCGCGATCAGAAAACGTCGTCGGGCTTGTCAGATTAATTTAATTGTGGCCTTAAATTGCCGTTTTAATTGTACTTCACGCACCCGTGCCCCCCGGGCAGCGGCCGGGAACGAGAAATAAATAGGTCCAGTCTCCAAAACAACGCAATCTTATCGCGGGTGCTTGTACTCGGTGAATTTTCATGTTTTTACGACGCGACGCGCGTTACGCGCGGCGAACTTATTTGCATACCGCTCGGATTATCGCCGGCGGTTTAATACAGCGTGATAGATTCACCGCGCGCGCGGTCCGAAGGTTAACGTCGAGCTACTGTAGAAGAAACGGGACGTTGTCCCGTAATTTGTCAAAGTCCCTCCCGCCTCGCACGTGGCGGGGAGTACGCCGGAAAGGCGAACATTCTCGTGAAAATACGTCGCGAGCCGCGCATCGACCCGACGTGTTATCGTCGTTTAAATAAAATTAAAAATCGGTGATTCCGAATCGGCAAACTCGCTGCAGAACCGATCTCGATCGATTCAACCCCGGTTTTCATCAACGTCGTTTAATTGCGATCTTGATTTTATATAATTCATCCTTTGTTTCTTTCTAATAGCGAATTCGATTGCTTGCACTGAGTGCACACTGAGTGCACACTAAGGCTGGTTTATAGTCAATTCTCATATTTCACTTTGTCTTAAATACACGTCCAAAGAGTATTTAGTCAAGAAATGATCCGTATGGATACAGATCATTTTACTGGCTAAGAAATATTTCAAGAGATATGTAAGACGATCCCTAAATATAAGAATTGACTGTAAAGGAGCTTTAGTGCACTCAGTGCGCACTAGTGCAAGCAACCAAATTCGCTATAAGGGGACAAGGTGGAAAAAGACAAAGGATGAATTAAACCAAGATGGAAGTTGAACGACGTTGGTGAAAACCAAGGTTAATAATTGACATTTTGGGTCCAGTTTCACCAACGCTATTTAACTTTAAAATCAGCTTAATTCGTTCTTTGTCTCTTTCCAACTGTTACTTTAGAAAGTAACAAACGTGAATTAAACTAAGATTAAAGTTAAGCGACGTTTGGTGAAATCGGGCCTCAGATTGCTAGCGTCAACTGCGATCGAAATCGTAGCTCGTTCATTTTAGAGTCGAAGACTCTCGACGTTGGAAACGTCGAACGATTTTCCGGAGTAGCCGGAATCGCGGGGGCTGATTTAGAGTGGGAAATGCGAAAGTTTTAATCAAGGTTGGAAAAGTTACTTTATAAAAGTATCTAGTTACAGTTACAGTT